GGGGACGCGGGTTCGTGCCCCGGTCCGGGAAGATCCCACATGCCGCGGAGCAGCTGGGCCCGTGAGCCATCGCCGCTGAGCCTGCGTGTCCGGAGCCTGTGCTCCGCAACAGGAGAGGCCACAACAGTGAGAGGCCCGGGTACCGCAAAAAAAAAAAAATTCCATCTGTGCTCTTATTTACACCATCGATAAAAGGGTCAAACAGGACGGGATCAAGGCTAGCAGTCGCCTTCTAGATTGTTGTGGAACCCCAGTCTAGCCATGGTATTGAGCCAGTTGTGAATTCATCTGCCTTTAGGAACTCTCCCTGGAGAGACAAGTAATAGTCTGAAGGTTGCTTGGAGCGTCTCAAGTCAGAAACTGGTTTGTGGGCCAAATGCTTAATGGCATCAGGCACATATTCCTACAAGACAGTCGTGTGGTCCAAGGGATGGCAGAGGTCAAATGCGCTGGCCAAGTCCTGCCCCAGCAGGGCTTGAATTTGCACCTGGCAAGTTTTATTTCTCTCACGCTCCTTCCTGTGGACATTTCCTTTATCTATGTTAATGTCCCCACTTAGGCTAAGGTCAAACTCTGTTCTTCCCTCTTCTGGCCAGAAAGACTTCCTGTCTTACAGGTATCTTATCTTATCTGTGTTGATATTTTCACTCTGAGTGAAAATCACAGCCGCCCACGGGTGCAGTGAGAAAATCAGAGGACTACGTAGCCAGTGTTTTGTACAGTGAAAACTATTTCATTTAGAGGACTGTCCTTTATTCTGAGATTGTTTCCTTCTCTTTGGGGGTTTAAAGAAAACCCTTTTTAGGAAATGATAATTTGGGTTTGTTTTGTCTTGTTTGTTCCTTTACCTGGAAAAATAAAAATCTGGCAACCCACTGTCAGTCCCCCAGTTTTTTTGGTTTGCGATAGCTGCCAGTCTTGGGAACCTGGTTTAATTTGTTCAGTTCTGCTGGAAACTCTGGGTACCTCCTATCACCACTTACGTCCTAAGTGCTTATAAATTACCTGCTTCATGATCTGTGGCAGAATCTCTCCGAGGATTGACATCAAGCTTACAGCTCTGGAGTTAACAGTATACTGGTCTGTAGTTTCCTTAT